GTTATTTGCTCTGCCACCTCGCAAATCCGTACGTTTTCATTCACTATTTAGTGGCATGGCCATAAACGACTAATCGTGCCATTCCGAATTTTTCTAAATTCCATTTTCATTAATTATTTTTTCTGCACAAAAGAAACGATAAGCAGAATAAAATGGACAGTGTTTTCTGAAGTCAACTAAATTCGCAAATTTAAATATTGGTATATTTGATTTTAACCAAATAGGTATCAATAACTGAATATGATTCATTTCGGAGGGTTTAATTATATTACTACTGATTTGATTTCAATAGCATTTATAATATGCTAAATATTAATGGATCAGTTAAGCTTTAATCGCGTTACATGCCATCTTATAATTTAAAAGTCATGTTTTAAATATCTGGTACATGAGAAAGTTACTGTTTTTGCTCTTTCAGTTAAAGATCAGATTAGCAAGTTAAGTATTCTGTTCAGGAATATGAAGTATGTGAATAACCTAGGTTTACCATTCTGCCTTCTATAACTGAATTTACTTAGTGACAATCCTCGTGGTAGTTTAAAACATTTTGAACCTCTTCTAATACTCCGTATCTAGTATAATGATAAGGCAATATAGCTTTAAAGTGTTAATGGACTTATTAGTTATTTTCAAGAGTTGATTTAGATACTCCACTGTAGGAATAGAAATTCCATCGATTACACCAAAATTATGTGTATAAGACCAATAATAAGAGAAACATTAACACTAAATTTCGAATGAGCCATTAAAATCGTAATCATAGCAGGACTGATCAAGGCAATTTCCTATCCTTTCGAGCAATCTGGAAACTGCGACTGTACATGTAAAATTTTCGGCCAAATGTTGCAAAGCATGAATTGCATTAAATGACCAAGCATAGTAGCAATTCGGCTCGCATATGTGGTGAGCCTTGTTTATTTTCTTTACATTTTGCACTCCGACTACTAACCTAGCTAATTCTCAAAGCAAACATTTATGCTAGAGACTCGTGATATTTGACTAATTCTCATTAGATTTTTATGAGAAATCAAAGTGGGTTGAATTCGATAATAAAATAATTATTGCGTTGTGTAGAATTGGCTCTTAGAGTTTCAATAATCTAAAAATTAATGCTAAATAGACTGTTTTACAGCACCTAAACATATTGCTATTCGGGTAATTCAGTTGATAATAGTCATTGTGTCGTCAACTAGTACCAATATTACGTTGTGCGACTTGACAATGTGTAATCTGTGATTTCCTTCCAAGATGTAAAAGCTTGGTAAAATAAATAACACTCTAGTAGCATTTATATGACAATATCATTAATAGGCACGATACCACTTTACAAAGCTAAGTTTACTCTATTGCTGTAATGAATTTTTGTGCCAAAAATTAGCTGATTTTTATAAGGAAGAGTACACGCAGGAACTTTTAGCCAAGTTATTATTGATAGAGTTTGCCAAGACAATAGTCTTAAGGTTTTTCAAATTATCAAGAAACAGACTGCGACAGGAATTTTCCGTACCAAAAATTTTTCCTAAGTATGCATTTCAACTACGCTTAAAAATAATAAGAAATTAATATTTCTAAATAAACACAGATGGAATGTAAGGCAACAAAATTTTCATCAATCTCCATCGAATTTAGCTTAAAAAATTATGTTATTAAGACAGGTTAACTTAAAAATGTTTGCTAATTTATAATAATAATAAATATTTACGAAGTTGTAATGATTTTTTCCTGAAATAATTGGTATATTTGTAACAAATTTACTTGATGCAACTGTTAATTCCATGAAAAATGGACATGCAGTGACAGAGTAAGTTAATTTATATTCGCTTAAATAATCATTTCACTTTGTTGAGAATTATTAAAATTTAAAAACTCGAATTAATTTTATTCATCAGAAACTACATAAATTATAGTTGGATTAATTAATAAATTCGACGACATCGAAAAAGCTCTGTTAAACTAAATAGAATTTGAATGTGAATTTGTGTACCAATAGCCATTATGCCAGTATTCAAAGATCTAAACAATCATTGAACATATAGTATTTATTACTAAGCACATAATAATATCGCAAAATCGCTCATCTCGATACATAATGGCATCCTTGGAATAAAGTAGTATTTCACCCTTGCAAAAATATTAATATGCCGAATAAATAAAGCAATTAAATAAAGTTATTATAACTAATATATCCCCATTCTAATTTCCCTAAGAATTATAATTCGTGAACTGTGAGGCATTTATTGCATAAACTTATGTCTATTACTAATTCATAATGAATAACGAAAAACACAATAAATAAATAGTAGATACTTAAAAATTGATATTTGTATAAATAAAATTAAATTTGTTAATATTTTTATATAATATAATGACTGACAGAATTAATTTCGCTAATCAGATTATTTTCGAAACAAAATTATTTTTTAACTGTGCTAAATTCACCACCCGCACATTTTGGCTTTTGCGTGTAGTTTGCGCCTCTGGTACGTTTTTCTATGCGCGTTATCTTGATAATTCTGATTGTAGGTTGTTCTTTGCAATTTTTTTAGAATATGGGTTTTGAAAATATCAATTATGGTCATCCCAAAAATAACGGACAAGGTAGCCGCTGCTGCAGAGTTTGCTCCAACCATCACGGCCTTATCCGCAAATACGGTCTTAACATGTGCCGTCAGTGCTTTCGACAGTACTGCAGCATAATCGGCTTCAGGAAGCTTGATTAAATGGACATTTTGCTCTTACAATAGATTCATACGGTTTAAATTTTGGATTTTTGATATTCTATATTGTCTTTTGTTACAATAATCATAACGCTTGTCAAAACCTATAGCTGGTTATATATTGTCTACGCCTATTTGTGATGTTATTCTCCTGTTGGTCTTAATGTGTAGAAGAAATTTGTTAGTTGACATCGGGAATTGTTAGCATGGATCCCATTAATTTCCGCTTGCTTTTACTTGATAATGACGTTTAATTCTGTTCGTAAGGCTCCTGATATCAAGGTTTATTTGTTTTCCAGTTTTCTTCAAAGTGGATCTGTTTCATATTTGCTTTTAACGAGCAGGTAAGAGGCTGTTCTGCTTTTTTATATTTTCATTCATATTGAATCATGACCGCATTTACTTATGGCTCCAATATTTAGGTATTATGTTTTTTTCGATAAAGCATTAGGGAATACTGTTTGGATATGCTTGGTAGAGTGTTATTCCCGTTTACTTAAGTAGATGTACTCGTTTAAGTGCTCTTTCGATCTCATTTATCAGTGCCAATGCTTCATTTCCTGCCTTGAACCAATTGCCAAAAAGTTTGACCCATGATTTTTTACCTGTCTTACCCATGCTGGCCTGATCGTTTGCTAAAACATGTGTTGGTGCACTTAAAATTAACTGAATTACTAGCTCTATTGCGTTCGGCTATCCGAGCGCTGGGTGAATTCGCCCTTACCCTTACGACAACCCATTGGTCCTATTCCCTGAAATAATATTTACATTGTAAACTTTTCCTAAATCGGATTGTGGTTTGTAGAGGATGGGTTGCGAAAATTAAAGTGTTCTAATGATGCTTTTTTTGAATTTTTCTCTAGTTTTCATAGATATTCGTACAAACAATCCTATTCATATCTTAGACTTGTGCTGATAATGTTGATTCATGTGAAACCTGGGCTGCATTATGAGTACGCGAGGTGTCCTAATGCAGTTACTGTTTGCCTATTATACTTTTCCTTGAAATGGAATTAATGTGGTCAGTCAATTTTCTATCTGTACTGTCATAAGGGATATATGTGTTCGTGAGATGACGCGTTCTAGTTCAAATGAAACTATTGATTAGTTAAAAGAGCAAATGCAAGGCGTTGAGAGTAAGTCAGTAACATTGGAAGGGAAGCCCAATCGCTTTGGTTTACCCTAGAATGGGTTATCGAGAATGTACTGAATATATGGAAGTCTAATTCCATTACCCTTTACACTAGTCTGGTGTCTTATGGATCTTTTTTATCTAAAAAGCAGTGTTTGCAGCTAGATACTAAATTTCTCCTTAAGTAATTGGTGTTTTCTTTTAACTTCTTTAGTTTGTTAAAAGTGGGTCTAACATTGAATATTTGTCCTTAGTTTCATGAAAGTTAACTGAGGCCCGAGTATCCAGACGCTAGTTCCCTTCAGTGCAAAAGTAGTATTCCCTGAGATCTCCTGGCCAAATGGACAAAACGGTCTACGTATGAAGAAAAAGAGATATAAATGTATAACACAAGCATAATAGAACTACAGAGGGAAGGGGGTTTACGAATTTGAAGGTGTTGGTGAAAATAAGTGTTCTATGTCCAATGTTTAAGCAATAGGGTGTGCGATAGACTTTCCTCCACGTGGTGCACCCTGGGCAACGTATACTCATACGGGGTCTATTAACTGGCAGTTGACTTCTGACTTCAAATAAAAGTCTATCAATCGGCAGTTGACTTCTCACTTCAAACTAAAGTCTATTACCTGGCAGTTGACTTCAAACTACCATGAGTAAGTCTATTAACTGGCAGTTGACTTCTGAGTTCAAACTATCATGACCCCAAGTCTATTAATCGGCAGTTGACTTCTGACTTCAATTACCATGATCTATTAACTGGCAGTTGACTTCTCTATGTCATATTCGAAGTCTATAAACCGGCAGTTGACTTCAAACTATCGGCAAAAAAATTCTATTAACCGGCAGTTGACTTCTGACTTCAACGCAAAAAGGTCTATTAACTGGCAGTTGACTTCTCACTTCACAAAAAAGTCTATTAACCGGCAGTTGACTTCTGACTACTCATACGGCAAAAAAGTCTATTAATCGGCAGTTGACTTCTGACTTAAAACTACTAAGACCCCACTACATTTCATATTCGACTACTTCCGCAGTACTCACCTCACCTTTTTTTCTACCTTTGTGTCAGTCTGTCTCTTTTACGTCTGTGAATCATTATTCTGTTCCCGCCTGTCTCTTTTACGTCTGTGAATCATTATTCTGTCCCCCTCTCTCGACTTTTTGCCACTTTGGTGTTCCTCTTCCTTTCTGTATGTATGACTTTTTGCCACTTTGGTGTTCCTCATCCTTTCTGTGAAGTCTCGACTTTTCGCCACTGATGTTCCTCTTCCTTTCTCTGAAGCCGGAAGTCAACTAATGTGCTAATGATACCTATCATAACGCCTGCCATTTGAAATATATATATGTTTAAGCAATTATTTAATTGTAGTCTAGAAGCGCATCACTTTGCCTATTTGTGCTGCAACGTGGTTAAGTGCTCAGACGTTATTTCGCTTGAAGTATAACTTACATTGTTTCCTGATTTAGTGGTTATCTGCTCTCCATACGGAGTGCACTATTATGCCACTGGCTGAGTTACCTATCAAACGTTCTCTTAGACACAGATCTTAAGTAGTACCGGTAGTTTTATTAAATCAACCAAGTTGACCGTACATTCAGGTTTTTTATTGTTAACCAACTACCTGGGAGTCGCTTAACCGTCCATGAATGCCCTAATTGGAAGATTGAGGGTAGGAAATCGGCAATGAGGATCTGGAACTAGGATACATGGGGCAAAAGTCTGAAAAAAGCAAAAAATTTTTAAGCTTGTGGGACACGTTATCGCTGTGTGCGTCATCGTATG